TATGTATATATGTATGTATGTATATATGTATGTATGTATATATGTATGTATGTATATGTCAATGCATATGCATGTATGCCTGTGACGAAATTCATCATCACACATGTATTTCCGTTAAAAAAAAAAGCACAAACAAAACTGATATCCTTTTTGCAAAGTGTTTTGGGCTCCTTTGTGTGTGAACTAACAATTGCTCCACCGCTCCAACTAACAAAGAACAAAACCAAGAACAACACCATTAAAACATTTACAATTCAGTGATAAGCCTTGGCGCCAAAATATCCATAAACAAGCAAAATTCTACTAAAGCAATTGCAGGAATTCGCAGAATGAAAATAAAGCAAAAATTTGCTAAAAATGAAACAAACAAAAACAACACGCAAAATAAAAGTCCAAAATGACAGAATATTATTTCATTAATTTTACCAAGCGTTGCAGAGGTAGCGGTTCCAGCGCCAGAGTTAGCGCAACAATGGCCAGAAGTCAACAACGACAGTTGGCCGGCCTTTGGCAACGAATGGAAACGAATGCTGCGCGTGAGTTATCCGCATGACGACTTTCATGAGTGCTCTGCTGCTACAACGGAGGCTTATCAGAGGCACAAAAAATATAAATGACCAACACGATGACAAAGGGCAAGCAACGATTTTTCAACACGGCAAAGAAATGAAATGGAAGAAAAACAACAACAACAACAACAGTAAACTGCAACAAAACAAAACAAAATGTAAATTGAAGCAGGTTCTCGTGGTAGTAGGGGCTACCGGTAGGGAATAAGCAAGTTCTTATATCAGAACGAGTGCGGATTGATAAGTCGGCGTTATTTTTAAACTTTCTTTTCCGGAAAAGATATGACTCGTATATAATTATTCTATAAAGCTTATGGCTTTAGCTTTGTGTTTATCCAGGTTTTCTAGTTCCGTCGAAAAAATTCTAAAGTTCTTAGATAGAACGGTTGGTCTAGTTTTTGAAAGAACTCTTCTTTAATAGGCTTGAAGTGTCTATATTTTTGACACGTCAATTTTTAAAGGAATGCAACCCTGTGCTGCTCGGGTCGCAAAGGACGGAAGCTGATACTTCTGTGTTCCCGTTCTGTTTGTGTACCTAAGCTACCAGTGACTTATCCAACATCCCCTGTATTCACATTCATACCAAATTCTCACCGTGTTAACATACATAACTTTTATGAGTAATTTGTGTTTTGTTTTGAATGTGAACGCATAAGTTCTGCGCCAACACTGAGTGGTTAGCCACTGATGGAGACTTCGAAACACTTTGTACCCTTACGTATGCCTGTTTGCATGTATGTCTGCGGCTACCCAGATGTTGCTGATGTTGGCGACAGTGTAGAACGCGCGTCGAAGGCGACACAGTGTAGTCTGCTACTGATTACAAATGACGCGACACTGTGGAAGTGGCCGAATTGTATCAGGAATGAATCCATTAGGGTGGCATGTCCAAGACGCACGCACACACACACATGCATGCTCACATATACCATGTATGTTTAACGTTTCGACATTTCAAATAAATGTGTACAATAACCAGAAAATTGTTGTACAAAAAGGTTATACGATAGTGGCCAAATTGAATTAAGATTGCAGCAAATGAGACGAATTCAAATAAAATAAAATCATAAAAAACGCCCAATCAATATGCGTGGTAGAGCAAGGGGACAAATAAAAAGTATCTAAATGTAAATTAAGAAATGATTTATGGATCGCAGAGTGAGAGCAAAGCAATACTTTGTTGCAAGATTATGTTGAGAAGGTTCCATATATTTTCTCTTCGTAAGAGATCGTGTGGTGCAAAAATATATTAGAAGAAAAAGTCTAAAAAATGGGGGACACCTCAAAAAAAATTTTAACTATGAGTTACAAAAGGACTGCTGTCAATGGTTCGACATTCCGACGAAGTACTAAAAAACTTCTGAGAGTACCTACTTGTTTTAGTCAAAAGGGTAATTAGCTTTAAAGAGAAAAATTTCTCACTTAGCTTTTACCTCAGATTTACACATTTTTACACCCTGAACAGTGTATATTAAGTTTGTTTATAACACCCAGAATGAAACGTCGGAGACCCTATAAAATATATACATATATACAAAAATGATCAGTGTGACTAGTTGGGTCCATTTAGTCCGTTTGTCTGTTCTTCTGTATATACGCGAACTAGTCTCTCAGTTTTTGAGATATCGTTCTGAAATTTTGCACACATCCTCTTCATACCAAGAAACCTAGAAAAAAGTCGTTTTAAGTTTCGGTATAGTGGTTTTATCAAATTACTTGATTTTTCTACTCATACACGCTATATGCGCTTATGTTCGAACAGTGTTATATAACAGCATTACCTCTTTTATTTTACGCCATCCAATAACGGTTTATGACACACCTACTTACATCGTCGCTGTCAAAGCTACCTTTTGAATTGCGTATGTATTAGTGCGCACATATACTCATTTATACTCATATTATATGTCAGTATTTATGTAATTTAGGCGCCACTTTGACATAACGAAAGCACGAGCACGAACAAAAATTCGTAAGCGATAATATTGAATTGCACTTTATTGGCTTACAGTGGGTTGAGTTCGTATTAATGTAGTCAAATATACAATTTGTAGAAGATAAATAATTTTATAGAGACTTTAAAGCATTTTTTTCTTTTACTTTCAGCCTACACAATTTCATGTACTTGTGAATCAGGATCGATAATTGACAAATAAGGTAAGTGAATTGAGCACTTTTTTTTTATAATTCCTTTAATATTTTAAGTGTATATTAGCTTTCGAAAGAAAGTGAGGTGCTAATAGGCTATTTTACCTAAGGGGATTTATAACAAAAAATAAAATATACAAAAACTGTTCGAGGCAGTTGTAGTGCTATAATTACCAAAATTATCAAATATTCGAGTAATTATATATGTATATACTTGCTATACATATATAATATAATGTTATATTCAAATGAGAGGCTTACTCGATAAACTGATATTGTTGTTTGAATTTTTTGAAATACTCAGAGTAGGCTAATGTATTGATAACACTGGTCTAGAGCATTTTTGCACACGTGTTATACATACATACCTAATTTTATATCTCAAAATAAGAATAAGAAAAATAATAACAAATAGTTATGAATATGCTTTTATGTATAAAAAATGGAAAAATTCAACACAATAAAAATACACTAAAATTTGCATATAAATAATTTAAAAAAATAACGATCATGCAACTAGGATTCATGCGAGATTTGAGATTTTCAAATAGACTCCAAATGTTTAAAAATGAACAGTTTTACTTTTGCTGTCATGTTACGCAGATGTTTCTCTTATTAACCCCCAAATATACTCCACCATAATGCTTTATGTATACTGGCTTTGCTAACGTCTCTCAAATTCCATTATATTTTAATGTAAGCGTTATTCCTGTTCTGCCGACTAAGCTCCTATATTATCTCTAAATTTATCTAAATGAGAGTGTAACATGTGCACCTTTAGCGACATTCGACATCCGATGATGGCGAAATACGTAATCATGTCAGTGATCAGCTCGTCATCACTGTCAGCTCTATGGTTTCCAAGCAAACCATGCCCTGCAGCCTTAAAACTATCCCAGGCTGTTTTCTACTCATTGCTAAGTAACTTCCTGAAAATACCATAATCCATACTTTTTTTTTTGAGGACCTACAAAGCTTCCAGCCTTTAGTTTCGCTTCTGAAAGCTTTGGATAATTTCTTCAAATATTTTTAAGCTCTGGAATTGTTTAATGAGACCCAATTTAATATGCAATTGCGGCATATTGGAATAGATACGTGCTGCTCTCCTCCTACTCCTACTATCCCACAGGCAAAAATAACAGTAGTATACAAGCTTTGCAAATTAATTTATTATTTTTAATTTTAATTTATTATAATATTATATATTAATTTTAAATTTTTACTTAAAAAATAGTTTTTCTCTCTCAGTTTAATAAATTCGCCGCAAATATGGCAAAACGAGTCAGCGTCTGTCACTGGTTGTTGCAACAAACAAAAAATGAACCACGTTTTTCCTCCAGAGAACTTAAATGTTCATTCTCTGATTCCTCTGCAATGTGCAAACACATACTGTCTTACAAAGCGAGCGATTCAAGTAAAACTATCTCCCGTCCTCTTCCCTCTCTTTTGACGGCAAAAACCCGCGAAACCCTTATTTATAGTTATACCATTCCCACGACAGTCGGGTCTACGTAACCGGAACAGACCCGGATTTTCATTCGACCAAGGACTGTCAACATTCTGACGCTACAACAACAACCTACTTTGAATGGGCGTAAGAATCAAAAATTGTCAAATCGCTATAAGTCTTTAAAAAGCAAATATTTTCGATTTGTAATCGTCCTTTCCCATATATACTACTTGCTTATATGTATAACCAGAATATATTAAACAAACCCATGCGTAAAAAAATTTTTTTGTGTTAATCTGTGTAATATACACGATAATATACCAGATCGGCTATTGGAGCCAAATTTAGTTCAATTTTTCTAAGAAAAAAGCTAAAAATCTAAAAATCAAAAAATGTATAATAGCAAATAGAAGGCTTAGCACATATGGTATAGTTCATATAATTCCTCAGTCACTTGTCGAACAAAAAAACTTTTGAAATTGTGTTGCGCTTCTCTCTTTGGTGGAAAAATCGATAACTTTGCGCCAGATAATATTTTAGTGTTTTCTGAATTTCGAACATTATTATAATTTTTTAAAATCTGTAAAACAAAACTTTGTAGCATTCAAGAAAAGGATTATATCACTTTAATGAGTTATCCGTATACTCTATTGTACCAAATTCAACTAGCTTTTTTATTGCTCTCACATATAAATAAAAAAAGAAGAAATTGCGAATCAAAGACCACTAATGTTAAACCAAAGTTTTTGCCGTTAGCATCAATTCAACGTGTCTACTGACTTGAATCTGCCCGAATAATTTTATTGCCGACTGCCGACAATAAGTCCGATAACTTAATTAAATCAAGTTTATATGTTTCGCTTTTCAATGGGATTCCTGCATTCACAATTATCTTTAATAACGGTCTCTAATTTTCGAATTCATTTTTACAATCTGAACAGGGTATAAGTTTATTACGAAGTTTGTAATATTTAGAAGGAACCTCGAAAACCAATTGACCAATCAAAATAAAGTTTCTGTTTCGAAAAATTTTTTATTTGAAAAGATACCTTTTCGAATCACGAATTGTGACCTATATTATTGTCCAAGCTGCAAATTTTATAGTAATTGTACTTAATTTCCCTATTTTTTTGAAACTTTCTTCTTAATATTTTAAATATTTATTTAAATCAATATTTTAGCTTATATATTTTCATTTAAATTCCTTAACTTCTTTCACTGTGCAATTATCCAGTATGCTCTCAAATTACATACCACAATACGCAAATATGAGTCACCACTCTCTTTCGAACTGATTTTTACCGAACGCCAAAAACTTGCTTCAGGCCGCACTCAACACTCAGTATTTTAAATGCATATGTGTGCGTTCGAGGTGTGTGCGCGCATGTAATATTTAGTAACAACAACAACAGCAACCAACTGCTAAAAGCCACAATAACTACCAAAACGGTTATAGCATTAAAAAGAACAATAATCACAACAAAAACAACCACAATAGTAAAAGCGCATATGCTGCGCTAATAAATTATTAATGGAGCGGCTTATCAGGCGGCTTAACTCCGGTACACCTATTAAACGTTGTGTCAAGTGAGTTAATAAAAAAATTATTATTATTAGTCGTTGCCAGCATTGTTGTTGTTATTGTATATCTAGAAATTGTGGTTTTTGTTGTTGTAACAACATATTGGTGCAGGCGGTTGGTGAATATGGTGGATATGCTGTTGGCTGTATATTTATGACCGTTGTCGCCACACAAAGAAATTGTAAAACGGCAATTATTGTAATAAACAATACAACAACAACAACAAAGTATATGAAAGTTGTTGTCGCATATCGTTTGCGCTCGTCAAGAACCCCCAGCGACGCTAAAGTCGTAAAATTGATAAGAATGTCTCGGCGGCGGACGTCTGACGGCGGCTGCAGCTACTGTTGTTGTTGTTGCTTGTCGGTTTATAAAAGTTGGTGGAAGTGAAACAATTAAAACAACAAAAATACTGTTGCAATTGTTGTTGACATCACTCGCGTTGGCCCCCAATAATATCGCCGTTGGAGTCGCTTTTGGTCGCTCTCTCTCTCTCTGCCACACACACTGTAGCTGTCATTCAGTCGTACGCTTTCTTATTCTTAATTTTGTGATGACAGGAGATGTGTCGGTGATTGAATATCGTCGTTTAGAAGAGTTTTTATGTTTTAAGTAGATTTGTGGTGTCTTTCTAGAAATATTTGCATTTTTATGCTGCTATAAGTCGAAATCTTCATGGTATTATCAATCATTCTTTTCGTCGCACTTTTGTTGTATATTTTTATTGCCGCTGTGTTGTTGTTATTTATGTTATTGTGTTAACTTGTAGCTGTACTTTTTGTTGTCATTTTACTAATAAGTGAGTGGTTTACCAAAAGACACCTAAGGCACCTAAGAGCCGCTTCCTCACTGGGTGGTCAGTCGAAAAAAATTTACCGATCTAAAGTTGTTGGGATTGGCAAAATTAAAATATCGCAGTGCTATCGTCCATTTTGAGACCTTAACGAGATGCCTCAAACGTAAACCCGTAAACGAAATGTGTTGGAACGATATACATATATGTATGTATAAGATAAGTTGAAAGCTAGGACATTTTCTAATGCAATGGCCAACTCGTTTGAGACAGGGTTGCTATGATCTCGCAACCATCACTCAATATGAATATTTATCCTGTCTATAAAAAAAATACTACCAAAAAACGTTTAACCTAGAAGCTGTGAACATCTAAAAGTTTCGTTAACTCGAGAGTTTAACTGGACGGTCCCTGACCGAATTTACTCTGTTCTGAGCTCATATCTCGCGGTGGTTGACCGCACATTGCCTAAAAGATAATTGCGCCTTGTATCTTTTCTTATGCTTGTTCAAATCCCTAGAGAAAAAATAAAATTATGACCTTAGACTAATCTCTTTTGCCTGTTTCCTTCTCTTTGGCAGCAGCGCCTGCACCAGCTGCTGGAGCAGAGACAGCAGCAACACATTTGCTACCTTTCTTAAACTCCCCTTTGATGGTAAGAGTTTCTTGAAATCATTTGAAAAATGGCGATTTGTATCTCTAGGTAATGCTCCAACTTCTTTTACCCATCTAAAAATTACGTTTTCTGGAGGTCTGCAAAGTAGGTTGTGATCTTTTCGTCTTCTACAGGTAGTCAATATAGATCACACCTTGTGAAACTTGAAAGCGGTAGTCATTACCGCTCCAGTCATTAGATCAGTTTTCCTTTCTTCGGGGCAGGTTCGGCGGATAAAGTATTGTTTTAACGGTTCCTTGGTCTCTGTTGTATACCAGTTGGTCTATGATTCGCCGACGTTTGAAACGATGCAGATGCAAATGCGATGCAATCGACCGGTTTGCGCTTAAACTCCGTCAAACACTGCCGGCTGTTTAGAATGAGCAACCACGGCATTCATCGGGCAAACATCTTTCTCATAACTCATATTTCATATAGGACATACGCTGCCTTTTGAGAAGTTTTCGCTATCTCTCGCACTATCAATCGTCGGCCTGCCAATACGAGCTCATGGACTTCTGTCACGTTA